TTCACTTCTTCCATCCCTTACATTGAAACCACTGGAATCAGAGTAATTGATTCATTATTGACCTTGGAGACTCTGCCTGCTTTGAGGCACTTAGCCTGGAGTTTCCTAGGACCCTTGATTTATAGAAAGAACATAGGACTAGGTAGGATATGAATTGTGAACCTGATCCTTGTTGAGTTGCAGTGAGTCAGGAAAGTAAGGTGCTGGGCTCTGTTCTTCATGTGACCTCTCTTAACTCATTATTTTTTCTGTCCCTTGGCTTCATGCTCTATAAGATCCCACATTTGTAGTTACACATTTTATGTGATGTTTGAAACCACTGCGTACTGTGTCCTCAAATGTGAGATATTTTCAGTTACTAATTTCAAAGTAAGACATTTCTTTTCTTTTTCAACATTTTATTTATTTCATGAATGAAAGAAGCACCCTCAACAGGGCTTTATCTTCCCTCAGCCTCCCAGCCAGCTTAGCTGTGCCTGGCATGTTTAGGTAGATTCTGGATCCAAACCTGGGCCTCCCATATGGCTCCAGTATTGTGCAGCAACACCCTATCACCTGTACCACCATAACTAGACATCAAAGCAAAACATTTCTTCATTTTAGGTTTTAGTCTACATATAAGGAGGAAGTAGAAAGGGTGACCTATAAAAACAAGTAACAGGAGATTCCAGTTTTGTGAAGTTTGGTTTCACTTTTTGATGATATTGCCAATGGGCTGGTTTTGTGGAGTCATGATTTTTCCATGAAAACCATTAATTAGAAATTTCCACACTAATAGCAAGAGAGGGCTCTGGAGTAGAGCAAAGGGTGTTATTTGGCAGTGAATGCTTTTGGAGCTGCCTAAGAATCTCTTCTCCAGAACAGTTCATATTTTACCAATAATTTGCTATTTGGCTGGCTTGGTTATCATCTGGTGTCCTTGTCAGTGTGGCTACCATGTCCTTGCTTCTCTTTTCAAAATTCTCTTTTCTTACCTTGCTGTGTACATCAGCAATGTCTAAACAGTGGTAGACTGGGAAATGTTTACCAATTGGCTTTCTTGGGGGGAAAAGCCCTGACTGATTTGTTAATTCCTATAGAGTAAAAACTTCTATCATGGCTAATTTCAAGCTATTATCATGATGTCAATAAATGTGGGGTTGAAAGATGTGTTGTAACACATTGTTATATAGTATGCTCATCATACAAATATTTCAATAAATAACCCCAGGAACATATAAAATAAAAGAGTAGTGAAATTATTCTGAAGTGATGAGTTTTAAGTATTTATTATCTTCATTTTAAATATAATTTAACTAATTGGAAATTTACATAATTTAATTTGAATAAGGGCTATACTTAATAATCACCTTGAAAAATTTCTAAAAATTTAATAACCAGGATATAAGACATCTCTAGTATACCACTGGGTCTTGGTTTGAAAGGGAAAAGAAGAAATAAAAGAACATATTGAGTAATGAAGTTCTAAAAGGTCTCTATGCCATTTATACTTTATGACTGGGTCTTTATGAGCCTTGAGCCTATGAGCTCATAGAAATGACATGATATTGGTCAGAAGGAGGACTGTGGAGCCTGATATGTCAGGTTCCAGACCCAGCTCTGCCATTTGCTATCTAGGTAACCTTAAGCAAGCTATCACACCTCTCTTAGCTGCAGTTTTCCAACTGTAACATGGGTACAATAAATAGTAATTGCTTCATAAATTTGTTAAGGGGATTACATGAGATAATATATTCAAAGTACTTATTCCACTGGGTCATATAGTAAACCCTCAATAAATGGTGGCCATGAGTACTATGATAATTATTATCTTAATCCATTTCTAAAATGTCCACAGACACCACAAGCAGTGATGGGGTCTAGTCCAGGTACAAATTCATGCAAATACTGATTGTTAAAGACAGTCTTCTTTGTAGGTCTGACCTCCATTTCAGCATCAACCACAGCATCAAGGAGATAAATACTCCTCTCTCTGCACCTCTTGAAAATATCCTTCTCACAGATGGCTGAAGTACAATATTGGTGACTCACTTCTCAGTGTTAAGTGCTGCTGTCTTTCTAGAATTTCTTTAAAATTTAACTGCTTCTTAGAGGGTGAGTCATTAAGTCTAGCACCTTGATGTGAATGAGGCAAACAGATCCCAGGACTCTGTGCAGGGACTTCTTGGAATCTAAGAATGAGAAGCCTGGGCGTGGGCAAATGGGTACACGAAGGAGTCTGGGGGACCCCAGAAGCTTCCACATGCTTGCCACTGCCTTCACCACCACCACCTCCTGGACCTGGCCTTCTTCCAGGTTGACCAGTACTTCAAGCAGATATGCCCTCTAAAAGGAAATCCACTCCAGTGTTTCTCTCTTATTTCTCCAGCTATAGCAGGGCAAAGACCCAGTTGATTCTCAGGCCCACAGTCCACTGATGACAGGGAAACACTGCTGTTTGGGATCAGTCTTTCTATTTCAAAAGTACCAAGTATATAGTCTATCTGTCAGGGTTCTAGTTGTTGTCCAATTACTTGATGTATGACCGTAAGAAGGTCATTTCATGTCTCTGGACTTCTATTTTTCTTTTAGTATATTGAGGATATTGCTGGGGATTAACCTGAGACTCAAAGGAGAGAGCCCCCTTTGGGAACTATAAAACTGAAACACATACTTTGTTGTTAGCATTTTATATTCCTGAATCACAGTTGTTCGTTTGCTCCTTTTTTCTTCAGTTCTTCACACATGGATATGGGGAGAAATGCCTTCTTGGGAGCACCATAAATGAGAGATAATAACACATTTCTTACCCTTTATTCTAAAAGTTTCTAGGAACTAACGTGCACATTACTATCTGCTTGCGTATTCATAACATGGTCTTGTGTGTAAAAATAATAACCTGAAGTAATTTCTGGTTTGGTTTAGGTAACTTGGCAGAACAAGAAGACAAGGGTGACATTTGCAAAAACCCAAAGCTCTGGGAATGTTAGTTGTGTTCTTGAGGTTTTGTTTGCTTATTTGGGGCTTCTGTGATATTACACAATGTTTTCAAAATGGTTGAGTATCATAAACCAAGGAAGGAAATGCAGCTTCCAGGAGTATCAGATTTATAGCCAAGGAGGTCTTAGGTTCTGGGAAATGATATGGTGATAAAAAAAGAGCAAGAAAGCCAGTCTCCTCCAGCACCGACCAACCAGCCTTAGGGTGTTCCTGTGCCATCAGTATGACTTGAGGGGGTAGCTGATGTCCTGATGGGATGTCTGAAAGCTTGAAGAACATGTAGATTATAACCCTTTCCTTGGAACTAGAGTTTAGCTTTTACCTAAATCTGTGATGCTACTTTTATTGTCCTACTAAGGGCTCTAAGAGAAGGAAGTCTTAGCCCTGTGATTACTGTGTGACTAGAGGGGGGTTGCATTATTAAATCTTCTATTGATGGGCACCTCCCTTCTGGTGTTTGGGGTGTAGGCTGGCAGCATAAGTGGCTGGAGAATTACTCAGTTATTGGAGGGAGGGTTTTGTGTTTTAGAATCAATTCTTTTCGATAGAGATAAGACTGCCGCTGGCCAACCAGGGCAATATGCCTGACACTAAGTATTCTCTTGGTGGCCTGCCAGGATGCAGTGCGGTGACTGAGGTGAATGAATGGGTGCAGAGCAATGTCTGGTTGGCAAAAGGCCTGCTCAGCTGCAGTGAGTGTTGCATGGAATTTGGGCGCCTGGCTTCTACAGTGTCTGGAGAGTGGCCAGAGAGAGGAACAAACCCAACAAGGGGAGAGAAGAGGTCTACTAGGAAGGCATAAAGGCCTCTAACATTTAACAGAAAAGACAACATGCTTACTTTTTTTCAAATACACAGGAGACTTTTACAAGGAGATGCTGATGGATTGTTCTGACAATCAAGTAAGAGAAAGCAGAGTATGTAGGGGCAACGTGGATTTCTGTCACTCTTTCTTTCATACTGCAACAGGATGCTGAGCGCATACTTGACCAGTGAGACTGTTAATGTCTTGAGTGGGGCCCTCAAATCATTTTAGGAGGAAAAAGAGGGTCTTCCCAGTGATTGATGCGGCCAGTCCTGGAGTCAGAGCTCCTGAGTGCGGACTTCTGGGTTCCTCGTATTGGATGCTGTGTCCTGGTTCTGCTTCACGAAATATCGAGAACAAAGTGAGTCCTTGGCATGATACAAATGGGCTTCCCAGTGAGAGGACTGACAGATTTTCTAACTTGATAATAAAACTTTCTGAGGCATCTCAGAGGTGGCAGATTACTTTTCTTTTTCTTCCTTTTCTTTCCTGCTTCTCTCCCCACTGCATTTTGCCCATTCTTTTCTACTACTTGTTCAATAGAGGACAAAGGGGAGGCCACCCAAAACTTGAATACTTTGATACCAGAGTAGAAGATAGCACAGCCTGGGAACAAGGCCATGGGAACCTGCTAGAAGAGGGTTCGACATCTGACCACTCTCCCAAGCCAATTCAGCAACCAACGCAGAGACTCATTGCATGATCAGTTCCCTTTCCTCCAGAGAAGACACGATATCCTCATGTCCCTGTAGCTTAGCTTTGACTGTGAGGTTCCAGGGAAGGCATCAGAGTTGTTTCTGGATCGTCTGAAATTTCCTGTCTGTAAGCTGGCCCGGTCTCCTTCCCTAACCTGCTGCCTCACACATTTCAGATTTAGCTCTTTCTAAAATAGACTGAAAAGGGAAGGAAAAGATGATTCCATCACTAAGTCTCCTTTCAACCACAACAGTCTGTTGCGTGGGCTTGGTGGCTTTTGCTCTTTTAGGAAGCAATAGAGAAAGGAATTGGGGGTAGGGGAAAATAACTATTCTGATAGAATCTAATGTACAATCTACAAAACTATACAACAGAATAGGACAAACATTTCACCAAGATCTTGAATCACAGGATCTTTACATAATATAATGCCCATGGCAGACAAATACTAAATACCACAAAGTACCTGAGACCAAAAAAAGGAAAGGAAAGAAGAAAGGAAATAAAAAGGAGTCTGGAGTCCTGGCATTCAGAGGTCTGAGAAGCACAGGCAGAGTGTCTTGGTGGAGGGGTGGCTGTGTGTGAGTGCCCAGTGGCTCCTGGCCTCACTCGGCTTCTGTGGCATGGACCTCTGTTGCAGTGATAGCAATTCCAATGGCCAGGCTGCCATTGTCAGAGAAGAGCTGGGCCAGTGAGGTGTTGAGGACGAGGCAGTCCCCATCGGTGATCACTGAATCCACACACTCAAGGACAGACCTGGGAGTGGCCTCCCATTTGAGGCGCCGATGGTTTCTATTGAGCTCCAGGCGATAGGTGAAGCAGTCAGCCTGGGTGGGGGTCCCGATGAGCATCATAGTGGCAAAGAACTGGGGGTGCCCTTCATGCCTCTCCTGTTTCCTAAGCACCAGCAAAAAGTGGTGGCCAAGGCAGGAGTGCATGATGATCCAATCGGCTGGTGCAGGGAGGTGCATGTCCGTGGCCAGGAAGACTATCTCCGCTCCCTGAAGGATGTCAACCCTGTGGATCTGCCGCAGGTGGGGCACTACAACCTCCAGGTGCCCTTCCCACTGGCAAGAGAACAAGGGGCACATGCAGGGTGTCACCTGGGTAGCATGCAGCCCTGCCTCCTGGTGGTGGAGGAGGTGGGGGTGGGAATGGTGGCGCAGGAGGTGGTGGTGGCGGTGGTGGCGGTGGTGGTGCGTGAGATGGTGAGGGTGGAAGCTGCCTTGTTCCGCAGTGCTCTGAGTGATGGCGCGTCGACTGGACACATACTGTAAGGAAAAAGAAAAGCATTAGTGAAGAATGAGGCCCATCTCTCTTCCTGGCAGTGAGCAACTCCCCTGGTGGTCAAACTGTTAAAAGCAGACTCTAGAACAGAGAAAGTTTTACTTCTTAAAAATAGGTAGGAAACATGGTAGTGCCTCGTTTGGAATGGGGTCAAGATTCTGAAAACTCAGTCTAAGAAAACACAGTATTTGTACCTGATTCTTCAAGATACATAAGCAAAATAATCAATTTCCCCTTCAAATAACATGCATTACAATGGTCATCAATCATAAAGGACAAAAAAAAACTTTTGTTTTCCTTTTGTGATACCATTGTTATTTTTGTGCAGGCATTTGTAGTCAGTGGATTTGTTTTATTTATTTTTTCTATTTTTATCATTGTTATTTTTAGGACAAAATACCCTTTTGTCCTTTTAGTGCTGCCAGGGGTTGTGCTGTTTTGGGTGTCCTTCTCCTGGGTCCTGAGGTGACTGGTGGGATGCAGAACCAACCATGAGCAGTTGGGCTACAGTCTCCAGGGGAGAACCCCACCTGTGACTCCTGAGACTTTGATTTACCAGGTACAGTCCTATCCTGCTTTTGGTCCTCTGCTCCAAAACAACTTTCCAGGGGCTCTCCACCAGGCAACCTCCTCTATGAGAATCTCCCAACCTTTTGATCCTCATGGCAGTGTGCCCACAAATACCTTTGAAGCCACCAGGAACTCTGGTGGCCCCTTCTGATCAGGTATTCATGAGCATGTATTGAACACCTGTTATGGCCAGACTCTGCAGACCTGAGAGATACAGCATGAGCCCAATAGACCCTGGTGTGGGTGGCACAGACATTAATATGGTTATAATTAATGCAGTGTTGACAAAAGTTCTACTTGTGACATGAAGATTATGATTCATATTTTTCAGCTGATGAAACAGATTTTAGTAGTAATATGATTGAGATTATAAAGCCAGTAGGAAAAAGGCTGGGATTCATTTTCACTCCTTTTGACTTTAAACAGAGGGAAACCACCCTCCCACCCTTCCCCGCCCCCCACACACACACCCCTGCCATGCCTGCCTTCATTCCTTCTTTCATTGCTGGAATTCTTTTCTTTAATTAGTAGTCTGGGCGGTGGGGCTGGTAGTTCTGCCATGTGCTCCAGGCATGAGGTCCTCACCCAGCAGCTATTTCCCATGCTGTCCTCAGGTGGAACGTATCCTGTCTTCCTTAGTTTTCTACTCTTCGGACTTTTGGTGCCTTTGGGCACTTGGTCCTTTACCTTGCTTGTTCATTCTCAAAGTATAGAGGATGGGGTGAAGGTCTGTCTTTCATACTCATCGCCATTGCTACCAGTTTCCATCTTTCCCAGTTCACTACAGATAGCAGCGAAGGCCTCACTAGCTTCCCTTTCTTTAGCATGAAGGACACAAAAACACTCACATACACATACACACATACTCATGAAATACACTACCATTAAGCACTATGGAAACTAGGGTTTTTTTTAAAGTAATTATTTTATTTAATTGTCACAAAAAGATTGATTTTCTTTTTTTTTTTTTAAATAAAACTAAATCTGGCTTAGTTCCTACCTGCTTGAGGGTGACAGGTACCATTTAGGCATTTCCATCCCCTTGAGAGACCCTCTTAGGGTCCTTCCAGCATCCTGTAAGTAGTCGGCTTCTTCTGATATGCTCAAGAGAACTTGGTCTAGGGCGTTCATGGAAAACTCCAAATGTTATCTCTCCCCCAGTCTCTGAGAAACCTCCCCTTTCAAATAGTCTTTACAACAATCACGAGAGGAACACATGTTTTGCTTATCTTATAGATGAAGAAACTGAAACACAGAAAGATTAAGTCACTTGCCCAAAGTCATAAAGGGTAGAGCTAGGAATGGGACCCGGATCAATTAAATGTGACAGAGACCGTAGACTGGGAAAACCACGGACTGGGTGTCAAAAGGCTCTGGTCTATTTCACTGTTTACTTGATTAGCAGCCTTGACTAAGCTAGTTTTCTCATTAGCAAAACATTTCATTTAAAAGGTTGTTAAGGGAGCCCCCAAATGAAATAATACCTGCAAAACAGCGTGAAGAACTATATGTAATGTTAACAATGAGATGACATTTAGCTGTAGTTTCGGTTGAAAGCTTTTGGCAGGCCTTCTGTCTCAATCCATGCCTGCCTATCTCTGCCCAGGTCAGCTGACTTTCACACCTAGGCAGCAATCTGGACTGAGCACTGTCGGTCATAAAAGCCTGGAGAACTCAACCTGCACTTGACTTGGGACCTCTTGTTTGCTCTAATGCTAACCTGTGGCAATAGAACATCCTGAAATTATGATCTTGGATATGGTCTCTGAAGGGCCAGATGGTGGCACAGAAATAAGCCAACTAGGGAACCAGCAGTTAGCGTAATGGCTATGTCGCTGGACTCCCACATAGTCGACCGCGGTTCGTGTCCCGGACCCGGTAGCTTAAAACTCACGCCGGGCGCGTGTGCGTGCGTGCCCAAGATCCCGAGAGGAGAATGGAGGAGAAGGGATTGCGGCGTGACCATCCCCCCTGGGGGGTGATTTCTCGCTTTCTGTCTCTATGTCTCTCTCTGTCTGTCTGGCGAGCGCACGCGCCCTACAGTGAAAATCTCTCAAAAAAAAAAAAAAAAAAAAAGAAATAAGCCAACTAGACCCACGTGGGAAAGTCTGGGGTTCCCACTGCAGTACTTCCCCATGCCTGTCAGGCATGCGTGGGTGATTTGGGTTGGCTGGGGCTGGAGGTGGATCATGGCATGAAGATTCTCTTGGGGATGCCTCAATCTCTCTCATTCACTTTCTTTGTCTCTCTCATGGAAGAAATAAATGAATAAACTTAAAAAGAAGGCAGATGTGTAAAAGAAGAAGAAATGGCTTCTGGGCTAGTTATGGTCACATGCCCTTCCCCAGATTTATTTTACATTTTCTCTGTGCTGATCATGCAGCTAATGTTGGTGATGAGAAGTCAAAATAGAGAGGGAACAGGGAAGAAATAGATACCTGACTTCCCTTTCTTCTTATCCTCCAAACTCCTAGTGGTACCTTCCATTGGCTAAAATCAACTGAAATCTGCCAGCAAAGGGAGCCCAAGAGGTACACTCAGCAAACGCTATTGAATTATAGAATTGGTATTGAATTATGCTGACAGGTGAACAGGTAATATCCACCTATATGCAACTATTTCAGTTCTCTCCTACATGATGTCACTGATCTGAATAGGCTGTATCTCCTCGGCTTAATGCAAGAGATGGGGCAAATAAACCTACCATTCATTAAGCCATTTGACATAAATGTATACATGGCCTAACATGTGCGAGGGGCTGAGAATACAGGACAGAATAGGAACCTTATTCCTGCCTCACTAGCTCACTGGTATTATGTATAATACAATGCAAAAAAACAGTACGTATTAGGGGCCAAGTGGGTGCGTAGCTGTTCAAGTCCCTGAGAGATGACATGGATGCTGGGGGAAATACACAGGGGGGGATTCTCTAGAAAAATAGGTGAAGAACTTGCCAGTAGGGAGAACAGTAGGTCTGAAAAGCAAGTATGAAAGACCATGGACTATGTAAGAAGTGGCAGATGAGAATGTGGTAAAGATGGAGAGGAGGTGTTGGGCCATGTAGCCAAGTCCCTGTAAGCCACACTGAAGTTATGAGACAGTGCCCAGTGGAAGTCAGCAGGAGGAGCCAAGGGAGTCAACAGTGCATTTCTTGCTCCCTGTAGGGACCATGATGCCCCGTAGCGCACCAGCAGAGCCTGCTCTACACGGGCACTCAGAACAGAGCCAGCAGTAAGACCCCACTTGTCCATCTATCAGACCCAAGCAATGGTTGTTCTACTCAGCCTCTCCCATTGCTTTCCTTTGGCTTCATCTTCCACTAGCCTTTTCATTTTTAATTGCCACCATGCCACAAAGCAGCCAGGGATATAATCCAAAGAGACTCAGTGAATGACTATGCAAATAGAGTGGGATATGATAAACTCACTAAGGCCCGTGCGCTTGCTGAGCCCTGAGAAAGTGCTAGGAATAAATGTGGCCTTAATTCTTCATTTCTTTCTTCATCTTCTGATGCAAAATATGTTTCATTTAAACGGTCCTTGGGTGAATGAGGTCACAGGGCTGCTGGCAGGGAGAAGGGATTCTTTTAATTGGCAAAATGTTAATCGTTTCGGAAAATGAATTCTAATCTTCCCATCTAATACAGTGGATGTGTGAGTAATTACTTTCCTTCACTAAACTGTTAATGCAACATTAGTGATTACACTAATTAAAACTAATGAACTCTTACAGACTGATAAACTCCTCAGTCAGTCAGGGGCTGCCTTCCTTCCATTGGCTGTATTTAACTTCCCATTTGAAAGAGAGATCTTGAATTAACCTTTAGAATAATGCACAAAATTGGGTTTAGATATGTTAGACCTTATAGACTGGGTATATTTCTTTCCCCAAGCATTAGTAAGGCCATTTCTACTGAGGGTGTAATTGAATTTAAAAATGCATTCCTTAATTTGATCAGCCACACTTCCATGGTTGGTAATGGTTATTCCTCCAAATCCTGGCTTCTGCAGGGGAAAAGTGCCCCTGGAAATATCACATGACCCTTTTTCCAGTGTATGTTCCCTATGGTCAGCAAGCTCACTTAGAGGATTGCTTTTCTTCTCCCCTTGCTTCCAGGAACAGTGCCATGCTAATACATTTCAGCAGAAAGAGGATTTTGTACCTAATTTTAAATGACAGCCACGCGCTTTGAGTTAGTATTCATTAGCTGAAGTTTTTAGTCCTGGGTGAGAGGGAAAGGGTTGAATGTTATCAGTGCATTTCATACAGAAAGAGGAAGAACAGTTTGCAGATTGGTGGAGGGTGGCATTTCAGGGCAAGTATCAAGAGAATTGGGAGAAAGTCAAGGCCTGACCCATGTTAGGAGTCAGCTGTGGTAGAAGGGAGAACGGTTGTGACAGTCCTAGGTCCTGGC